GTGGACAAACTGCACCGAGGTCACCATTTAGTTGAATGACGGCAAGAATAAAACAAATCATTCTGTCACCAGGACGCGCTGAAGTTCGGTGGACTTTAAACGACTAAACAACACAGGGATACTGACAAAGACTCCCCGTATCGTTAGTGGATGGGAACGACAGCAGAACAAATGCTGTTACTATGGCGACGGCTTGACATGCATGATTTAATCCATACGCCGCAATCTATAAATGGACTAACACAAATGTCACTGCGGCGTTCAGGGCGTTCCTCCGAGCAGCTGCTTCAGCATTCTGACGACGTAATCATTATTCTTACACTACAAATATTAGACTTTTTTATGTAACTCCATAATTAGCAGAATACATTATTCCATAGATATATATGTTTTATTCATCACCCCGGGGAATAAACCACGTCTGAGCAGGACCTTCTCTCAAAGACGGAACAAAAAAATAAAACGTCTCCTCCAGAGATCAGCGGACCGGCCGGAGGAGCCTCCGATTAAAAAAAAAAACAAACAACCAGAGCGAGCCAAGTCGACTTCAACTGAGAGAAACCAGAGTCACAAAAACTAAAGAGCTCTAACTGAGCTGTCACTACATTCTGCTCAACAGATCTAAGAGCTTTGATTTGCTCAGACAGGTTGTGGAATAACACAACGTTATAAAAGAACGTATTTAAAAAAAAAAAAAAGATAAGAGTCACAAATAATGAGGACGGACAGATTCTGATGCTGCTCATAGAACAAACTCTAATATTAATGTTTTCAATGCAGGACCTTCAACATGAGGACCAAACTGTACTCATGTGTATTTCTTGTTTGTTTTTTCATTTTTAACTGATGTTTTCTACATTTTTGCACCGTTCCCTGCTGCAACACTGTGCTGTGGGATTAACAAAGGCCCATTTTACAGAATCCTAACTTATTTTATCCCATCCTATCTTATCTTGTTGTATTTCTCTCCTATCTTGTTTTATTTCTATTATATTTTATTTAGACTGTTGTGTTTTTTTCCAATCTTGTCTTATTTAACTGAATCCTATCCCATTTCATCCTATCGTGTTTTATTATATCTTA